GTCCTGGAGAAGTCCCACCTGCCTCCGTGGCCCTGCCTGGCTCTGGGGTCTCAGTTCCTGCAGCTTCTCCAGCCTTGTGAAGCCTCTGTCCGTTCCTGCATTCCAGCTCTTCCCCAGCCTTGAGCATGCTGTTCCCTCTGCCTCCCGTCATCATCTCCTACCCTTGCTGCCTCCTGCTGATTCCTTGGGCTCCGGCCAGCTGAGTGCTGCCTCCTCCTGGAAGCCTTTCCTGACTGCCACCCCACTGGGATTAGTGTGTTGCTTCTGCAGTTTATATGCTGCTCTTGTCCCCAACCTCTCTATCACACAGCTGTCCTGATTGTCTCCCCACTGGTGCTCCTGCCCCACCAGATCGGGCTCCTTGAGGCCAGGGCCTGGGTCATGCTCAGCTGTTCCCAGCCCCCACCTTGGTAGATTGTAATAAGGGGTCACTGAACACACTGGTTGAAGGAGGATAGGAAGAGAATTGACAGAGGAGGGGCCAAGGGGTTGCAGGATCCCAGGAAAACAGTAGATCTGAGAGAAGCCACAGTATCCCTACCATCTCCATTGTCCTGGGGCCTGGAGAGTCCCTAGCTGCCTCAGTTTCTACCAGCTACCCTGCTTTTCCAAGTCCACACCTCTTTATTGAACCCAAAGAAATCAACCTGAGAGAGGGGGTGAAGGGACCAGGAAGACTCTGCAGGGCTGGGCCTTTCAGTTCTGGGTCCCTGAGCTCAGTGGGAGGTTCCTTGCTTCTGCCTCCCTGAGCAGAGGGTTCTGCACCCAGCCAGGGTGCTGGCACGTTGGCAGGTGCAAAGAGAGACACATGTGGAAAATCAGGGCACCCTGATTTTCAGGGCCGGTCAGGCCAGGGACAGATGGCTAGAAAGGAAAAGCCTCATGGTGCCAGTCCCTGCGAGAACTTTGCCATCCATCCTTCCAGCCCTGCCCTACCCCATCAGCCACCACAGCACAGGCTGGGCCAGCTTGTAGAGCTGACGTCCCTCTGGGATAGGGGCTTCCCTACCTCGGAAAGTCACTTTGGCAATCCGGTCGCCCCTGCCCCGCAGCTCGGAGACGGTCTTGAGGTGGACGAGCAGGGCCATGCTGGCAAAGACAGCCTGGGCACTGGTAGGCAAAGCAGCGTGGAGGGAGTAGCTGGCGGAGCGTGGCTTGCACACCTCCCTCTTCTCCCCACTGCCGCTGCCGCTGCCTCCTCCTGCTGATGCTGCCCACAGAGACCAAGGCAACCGAGCTGAGCTGCTCCTTCCAGCGACTCACAGAGCCTCCCAGCCTCGCCAGCCCCCGCCCCTCTGAGCTGTCAGCCCAGCATGTGTTACTGTGTGTGTGTGTGTGTGTGTGTGTCTGTTGTGCCCCAGTGAGCAGGCAGGGAGTGCACACAGAGTTGGAATTCATTATTCAGCAGTGCTGGCTCCCATATAAAGCCCTGTCCGGCTTTAGGTATCTCCTCCCAGCAATTGGAGTGGAGGCTCCTACTAGCTCCTTGGCAGGGCTGAGCAAGCTCTGCTATCAAGAGCAGGTAGATGGCAGTGGACGTGGAGTGGGAGCACCCTCTTCCATGGGGATCAGGAACTTCGTGATTTGTGTGCACGGAAGCTGGGCTGTGGCACTGAAGTTTGGGGATGGTCCACTCTGCCTCCTACACCAAGTTGACCACCTGTGTCACTCATGCCTGCAAGGCTCAGGGAACCTGGACAAGCCAGGCTTGGCTGCTGTGGATGGATGGCACTGTGCCATAGAAATCCTAATCCAAAGCTTCCTGGATAGAAAACTATCATTAATCGGATAGCATTAGGGCAATACCTAGTGGGGTCCCTCAGAAATACAAGCTTTATGAGAAGAAGAGACCACCTGTCCCCTGCCCTAAGATCATGTCCCTGAGAAGCTGGGTTTTGATTTCTTATCATGGGAGCTGAATCCTGGGAGGCAGAGAGGCTGGGGCTGCAGACCAGACTGGCGGCGGGGGACTGGAGATGCTTGCAGTAACAGCTATAGAGGCTTCTGTTCTGCAAGGGGTGGTGCTTAAAGACCAGGCATCCAACCCAGGGCTAGGGATGAAGAAGGCTAGGGCAGGGGAGACAGGTGGTCACAGGAGGAGGACTGTCCTGCTTCCTGCTCTAATCAGCTGCTAGAGGCCAGAGAAGGGAAATCTGTGGCAGAATTTACAAGGAACAAAGGAGAATGGTCCCTCCTTTCCTTCAGGAGGGGCTTGTAGGGAAAGTGACCCTGGAGGCCGGGATTCCAGTCCCTGGAAACTGTGCAGGGTCTCTGCATCCTGGCTTTGCCATTTTCTCTCTTTTTTTTCCGGGGGTTATTGGGAATTGAACTCAGGGGCACTCGACCACTGAGCCACATCCCTATTCCTATTTTGTATTTTATTTAGAGACAGGGTTTCACTGGGTTGCTTAGCTCCTTGCTTTTGCTGAGGCTGGCTTTGAACTCGTGATCCTCCTGCCTCAGCCTCCCGAGCTGCTGGGATTCCAGGTGTGCGCCACCAAGCCTGGCATTCTTGTCATTCTGTCTTGGTGGTATGTCTTCCACCCCCCACCCCCTCAATCTCCTGGCCTCAATTCCTCAGGTGCCCATTCCTGGGGGTGCCTCTGCATGTGCCCCCAGGCAAACTTAGGATCCTCCTCTGTGTGGCTCCTGCCCATCTCATCTCACAGCATGCAAGGCTGCTCCACTTGCCTCTATCCCCCAACCTGGTGCATAGCATCTTTGCACCCCAGAGCTTTACAGGGTATTCTGTACATAGTAGGATACCCAATAAATATCAATAGGATGAAAGGGTGAATTTGATGACCTACTAACAAAGTCTAAAGGTTTAAAAAGAGAAATTTTAAACTTTTACAGTGTACTCCCTTGAATTCTGTAGCCTGAGTAACTTGCAGGATGTTTCCTTGATACCCTTAACCCCCATTCAATACCTAAGGCCCTCTGTGCCCTTCCCAAGAGCCTTCTCTTCTCTTTCTAGATATTTCCTTAATGCTATCCTTATTCCTTATTTCTTTCTATTTGTTCTTTTTTCCTTATTTTTCTTTCTCCCTTCAATTCCTGCTCCTCCCATATATTCACCTTTTCCACACATTTTTAACCATATGAAATTAGGAATTGTCTTGGAAAATTGCATTTATTGAATAGAAATGAATGTCTAACCTTTTAACATCCTGGTAAGTTCAGTGTCTTTTTTTAAAGAAAACCAATTTCTCTTTAGCATTTCCCACCCATGAGGCCAGGTGATCTGTGTTTATAAGGCTTAGCAGTACTTGATAGAAAAAAGACCTCTTCCTGAGGTCCTCTGGAGGTTTCTCCTGAAAGGGGTGAATTTCAGAAGACTTCTTTTAGCCCTGTGCCTCTTTAGGAAAAGCGCACAAACCTGCCCTGGGCAAGGCATTGATTGAACTTTGCTGAACTTCATTTTCTGCATCTGTAAAATGGCACATAGCGTCTCAGCTTAGTTAGCTGACCCTTCTGTGACAAGCCAGATACTGGGCTGAACCCCAAGTGGAAGAGCTGAATGGACTAAAATATGCACAAGTAGGCACAGGGTAATGGAACTGTGAGCAGCCCCATTGGGGTCATTGGAAAGCCTTCCTGAAGTAGTCACATCTGAGTCCGGGATTGCTCTTTCAACATTTTTCCTAACATTTTTCTTATTGTAGTGCATGTTCCCCAAGGAGACTTCAGGAAAAAATAGATATGACTGGATTCTGAAGGATGGGTGGCCATTCCTTCCACTTATCCCTGTGGCTCCTTCTCCCACCAGGTCTCAGTTCTGCTTTTTGTGCCTCTTGCAAGCCTGTGGCTCCTTCCAGTTTCCTTGTCACCTGTCAGAGAGCATCTCTGGAGAATTCTGGTTGCAATGGCATCCTGCGAGCTCATTAGTGTCTTCACCAGCTGCCATTTACAGAGTCCAACTCTGTAGGTGATGCTTCTCTTCTGACCTCTGAGGGGAAGAGATGGACTGTGAGCAATGAAGGCAAACTGCAGGCATTCTTAATTGATTCCAGAATTGCTGCCAGGGAGGGAGGGTCTGGGTCTAAACCACAGACAGCATGGCACTTTGGAAGCTGTCCCATACGCTTAACCCTCATGCAATACATAAGATCCTGGCTCTGCCCAGCACACTGCCTAGGGCTGATAAGAGGGTGGCCTGGAGAAGTCCAGATGTAGAGGCCCAGGGAGGCTTAAGATAAAGCAAAGCTCACAGGGATCCTCAGATGATTTGCTCTGTGGGGCAAATACCAACACTGCAGACTCCAGGGCCCCAGTGAACTGTGGATTGGAGACTAATGGAAATCACGGACCCAGACATTTTTGTAATTTGATTTTTGACCCTTACTTATAAAACTACTTTTGTGGAGCAGCTTGAGGAACAAAAGGAGGGGGAGAGGAAGTTTCCAGGGAAAAAGGAGAGATTAATGAGAAAAATGCCCCTCTGCCCAAAGGGCATGCACACGCCCCCTCCACACTCTTAAATTAGAGAGTCCTAGGCAAACACACCAAGCGGGGCCTACTGCAGAGCCTCTTCCTGGAATCCCCACAGAACTGGGGCACTGTGGGAGGGATGGCTCCTGGGCCTGATCCTCCTTCAAAGCCAGGTGAGCCGCCTGTCCTTTCCCACCATAGCGTTCCAAGCCAGTCACCACTAGATAGGGCACTTGGGACAACATCTCCATTTGGCATTTCCACCTCCATTTGGCAGCTGAGCCCTTTCGTGGATGTGAAAACTGAGGCTTGAGGGCAAGCTCGGTTTTTGAGGCGGTCAGAGCAAAGCAAATAGAGACAGGGTGCTCCGGGGCGGCACCTTTGGGGAGCGCCCCGTGGGGGCTGCTCCAGGGAGGGAACGGCGAGAAGGACCCAGTGTCCCGGAATGCGAGGGTCGCTGGGGCCAGACTCGCGTTGCCAGGCGCTCAGTTGCCGGGTGACCCGCGGGCTGTTTACCGCCGGGCACGAGCCGAAGCGCCGGGGCTAGCCGCGCGCTCACCGCACCCACCATGGCTTCCCGCAGCGCCGGCACCTTACTGACCGAGTTCAACGCCGCCTTCGTGCCCCCCAGCCTCATGCCCGGGTAAGCCGCAGCGCGCCGGCAGGACCGAGTCCCGCGCCCCGCCCCCGCCCCTTCGGCACGCCCCCTCCCGGGTCCGCAAACTCCGCCCCTCGCGCCTCCGGGGTCTGAAGACACCCAGAGGCGCGGATCTTCCTCCCGGCTCGGGGGCCCTCCTGGGGGTGCGGGCTGTGAGAGCGGGCAGCGGGCGGGTGTGAGCAGCAGCGGGCTCTCCAGATTCCCTTAGTAGGATGTCGGTCGCCCAGAGCAAGGGCAGAGCCAGCCTGGGCTAACCGGACCTCGTGCCAGTGGGCACTAGTCAGGAACACATAGACCATGAGGAGCCCCCCAGAAAGAAGCAGGACCGTGCCGGGCACCCAGGATTCGGCAAGATTAGGATTCGTGGGCTGAAGGATGGAAGGAAACTTGGTGGGTGCCCGTTGGCAGAATCTGGCAGGGTAGGGTGGGCAGTAGTTGATGGATGGTAGTGTGCACTATCCACCTGACTTTGTGGCCGGTCCTTTCGCTGATCTCACTTTATCTTCACAGAATTTTTTCTTTGAGAGCTTCCTGCACCAGCCCTGAGAGCTGCCTTCCCATTAGCGTTTTCAAATGCAGCACCAACCCTCCCTTTGAGTGTTTTCAAGCTCCAAACATCTAAAATGCAAGTCCAATTGTTCCCTCCTATTCGTTGACCCTTTCTCCTAAGGTGTGCGATTTCTGCTCCGGATCTCCCTTCTTCTAAGGACATAAGATTGTCTAATCTTTCCTCTCAGTCAGCATGGGTAAGGAGGGCTGGGACTGGATTCAGAAAAGCCACCTGGCCAGTATCAGCAAGCTGGTATAGAATGAGTGAGTGAAATTCATGCCTTGAGAGTTCTACAGACAGGGTCTCCAAATGGGCGGAAAAAGACAAAAAACAAAAACAAAATACCCACATACTCTCTCCTGCAAAGTGAACAGACTCACAGTATATTTTGTATGAAGTTTGGCCCATTTTCAAGCTGAATAAACAAGATATGGAGGGGCTTGTCATATTAGCATCATTTCCGGAGACCTTGCATGCAAAAGTAGCTGTATCCAAGGGCTGGGGCTCTAGCTTTCATTCAGCCCTCCTGTGGACAAGACCTTTCTCTGGGTCTTGGACAGCTCAAAAGCTATTTTGATTCCCACAGACAAAGCTGATTTATCATTTCCAGAAGCCAAGCCAAGGGTGTTGGAAAAGGGGACTTAGAATTTGCCTGTTAATTCAATGAGGCATTCACCTTGGGCATACCAGGTGTTGCAGTGAGATTCTGGAGAGACTTTGGGCTGGGGTTATGGCTCAAATGGTAGAGCGCTCGCCTAGCACATGTGAGGCACTAGGTTCAATCCTCAGCACCACATATAAAAATAAAATAAAGATATTGTATCCACCTTTAAAAAAAAGATTCTGGAGAGACAAAGACAAACAAGTCAGGAAGGGGCTGTCCTTTGAGGGGCTCCCAGTCTCGTGTAAATACCTAAGATTTAGTGTAAATCCATCTCTGCTGCTTTGGCTAGTGGTGTTTACTCCACATTCTGGAATGTTTATTATGAGGTTTGGTTTTATACGTTGAGATTTTATTTTTCTTAGGCCCCTCCGCCCCAGTCTCTGTTGGAAGGTCTTCTGTTGCCCAGCTCCTTGGCCATTTGCTGCCCATGTGGCAAGGCCTGTGCACCTGCAAACCCTGCCTCGTGGCTCCCTGCTCTGTCCGGAAGGGATGGGAGCTGCACATTTCAGAAGCAAATCCCAGGCTGCTTCTCCATCACACCACTTGTCTGCAGTCCCTCGAGCACTTGTTCTGTCCTGTGATTGATATGGAAATGATGATAACACATGTCAAAAATATGGCTTCAAGCCTGGCCTGGGAGAGGTTGAGCAGCTGAGGCTGTGTCCTCAGCTTTCTCATCTGGGTTTTTCTGGGAGGGACGTGCTCTCCTTAAAGAGCCCCATTCAGTTGTTTTATGTTTCTGAACACTACTTATTGCAATTTTGTTCTCTAAATGAAAGGAACCAAGATTCCTAGCCACACTTGGATAATTATTATTTTTGTGTGTTTTTTCAAACATTAATCACAGATTTTATAGCATAGCCAGTTTCTTCTGACACTCAAATCAACCCTTTTGCAATTTTATTCATAGAGGCAGAGACTATTCTGCCTGGTGAGGACCTCAGAGATCAGGCAGCTCCCTCCTGTTCCAGATGTGGGCCCTGATGTCTTGAGGGTCTTGCCTGAGCCCTATGTGGGTCATGGTAAAGGTGGGCTGGATCCAGTGACTGGTCCCCAGTGGTAGTACCATGAATCCCTATGTCTGAACACTGTGTGGGTCTTCACAAACCCTTATTTTATTTTTATTTATTTATTTCTTCTTTAGCAGTGCTGGGAATTGAGCCCAAGGCCTTGCACATGCTAGGCAAGTGCTCTACCACTGAACTACACACCCAGCTCATACAAATCATTAAAAAAAAAAAAAAAAAAAAACTCTTCACAACCCAGATGAGGAATGAGCAGTTTGCTCAAGGACATTCAGCAAGTAAGTTGTCCTTCCATGACTTTGTGATTTCAAATACCCCAGCTCGCCCCAATGTCTACCCATCCCTCCCACAGCCTCTCATTCTGCTTCCTTCAGTTAGCAGGGAGGGAGTGGAGTAGACATTGAGAGACTCTGGAACCTTCCTGCCTATTTTGAATCCTGACTCCATACCCTCCTTACTCGGAGGCAAGTTATCTATCCTGTCACATGGGGATAATAATGGTGTGCAGATTAAAGGAGCCTTAAATCAGTTAATATGCATAAAGCCTGGGACTTGGTACTTGTTAGCTATTATTCTTAGATCTCTGCAATTTCAAGATGTTCAAGGCCTGTGGTTAGGCTGGGGGCGGGGGTGGGCAGTGGTGGGAGATGCCGATGATGCTGGTCTTCAGATAGATGACTAGGAGGTTCCATTTTGTTCCTTGATGCTTCTGGGCAACACAGGTCCTGGCACCTTGCCAGAAGCAGTACCTGAAGATGCCTGGCCTGGGGGCCAACCTGCAGTGGACAGGGATCTCTTGGGTCAGAGTCCCTGGGGCTGTAAGGTTTTTTAAGGGATGAAACCAGCCTCAGTGAGTGTCTGCATCCTGCCTGCAGGTCAGGCCTGGGTGGCACCTTCCCTGGCTCCCTGCCTCCCACCAAGCTCCCTGGGCTCTCAGTGCGTTCATTCATGCCCAGCCTGCTACTGCCCCTGATGCCCACAGTTCCCACCCAGCCACTCTCACCAAGGGTGAGGACAGGAGGACTCATATCCAGCCCTTCTCTCCATCTTCCTGGACTGGCAGCGGTGCCCACGCGTGCACTGAGCTGGGTCTTACGCCAGTGTGTTCTATAATCACAATTCTCAGGAGGGTGGACTTACAAAGATGGTTGTGCCCCATGCCCAGAGTCTGTGTACAGCAGACACAAGTACCCTGTGGTATGCTGATAAGGGTTTCTCTGGAGGAAAAAAACCTTCACCCATATGGTGTAAATACTCCACGGCTGATTTCAAGGTGTAGCTAGCAACATGGTGTCCCCAAATGAGCTGGTGTGATGTGCAGCTGCACATCATCATAAGGGACAGTGGTTCCCTTCATGGAGGTTTCACTTTCTGAAGTTTTGGTTACTGGATGTCAACTGTGGTCTGAAAATATTGAATGGAAAATTCCAGAAATAAACAATGCAAGTTTGAATTAACTTCTAAATACAGTATATTGTTATAATCATTCTATCTACCATTACTGTTGTTCATCTCTTACTGTGCCTAATTTTGTAAATTAAACTTTATCATAGGTATGAATGTACAGGAAAAATCATAGTACATATAGAGAGTTCAAAGTCCTACCTGCAGTTTCAGGCATTCTGGGGGTCTTGGAATGTACCCCCAACCAATAAAGGGGACACTGTATTGGTACTCTAAGATATAATAGACATAAATGACCTTGAGAGCCCAGACAGTAGTAAAGTGTAAAATGATTAGGAAGTGATGTTTTGGGCACATTTTACCTTTGTTTTTAATATGATTTGTTTAATTATAACTTTATATGATTTAATTTTTAATATTGGATTTTCCTCCATATATTTATTGGTGTATTATAATTATACATAATGGCGGGATTCGTTGTTACATATTTGTGCATGCATGTGATATAACAGTATAATTTGGCCAGTATCATTCCCCACTATTTCCCCTTCGATACTGACTTTTTAGACAACAGACTTGACACATTCATGAAAATTTAGAAATAACTCTCTTGAAGCTGGTGCGAACTCATGCCAGCCACCTGCAGTGTTGCTTGCCTCTGCCATTTCCCCAGGCCCATGCCTCAGCCCTCAGGAGTGAGGGTCCAGCAGGGCAATGGAAAGAGGTTTTGGCAGGAGCATCTCTCAAGCCCCTTCCATTCCAGCGCAGGCCTTGGTGCTGGGCCAGTATGTCCTGGGTATGAAACCAAGGCCATCTCATCTACCCGGGAAGATGCAGGGCTGTGTGCCCAGATGTTGACGTTAGGATCTCCTGGGAAGCATTAATGGATACTCATGCTCAGGCACCATCTAGAGGTTCTGATATAATTGTTTGGGCATCGCCCACTCACCCAGGCATCAGAGTTTTTTAATTCTTCCAGGTGATTTCAAGATGCTACCAGGAATAAGGATGATTGGCACTCTGCAATGCAGAGGACCCTTGTGAAGGGGCAGGTGTGGGCCTGTTTTCTAAGCATTTCTAAAAAGGGTTCCCAGTGCCAGGCACAGTGGCACATGGCTATAATCCCAGCAGCATGGGAGGCTGAGGCAGGAGAATGGAGAGTTCAAAGACAGCCTTAACAAAAGTGAGGTGCTAAGCCACTCAGTGAGATCCTGTCTCTAAATAAGATACAAAATAGGGTGGCGGATATGGCTCAGTAGTTGAGTGCCCCTAAGTTCAATCTCCAGCACCCTTCCCCTAAAAAATGAGTCCCCAGTGTGGGGCCTTCCACATGTCCCATTCT